TTTCATTGAACTGTTATGGAGTGGTGATGGCTCAGTGGTTTAGTTGCTTTTACCGATGTATTATCGTTCGAACTCCATCATTGTCACCCAAATTTGATGCTAGGCAGAATTGCTATAGTTCAGTTCAATAACACACATAACGTATATGGGGTTATGTGGCTCGCCAACATAAGTCCTGGGGCTTAGGGTTTTTATTACACGTAAGTAAATACGGTTGAATGTGTAGTCCCCATAATCCAAGGATATAGTCTACATGCGAAGGTAAGAGAAACCTCCAAGCTAGAACCAGCGAATATAATTCTCTACCGACATCGCTGTGTTATTAACACTATAACATTAACATTCACGCTAGAACCAGCTTGTTGAAACTTTCAACCTGATCCATTCTTTTGCTGATGACGCCACCCTTCACTGTTCCCTCTCCTACCGCGCTGTTCTCCATGCCCAAACCAACATCGATGGGGACCGTAGTGCAGTTATTGTCACTGGACTCCTCCCGGGGCATTGCGAACCACGTTTCACCGAAGTTCTAAAACCTCTCTTCTTTCAATTTCTTTAAAATGCTATTTATTTTCCCCTCCCCCATTTATCTTTTAATTCCACCCAACTGAGTTCCACAAACTCTGTTTCTTTTCTCGGATTGCCTATGACTTCTTTATGCTGGTTCCCTCTTATAGCTAGGCTTGTCCCTGTGCTGCGCGCAAGGTTGGATTTCTGCTTCACGCTCAAATCCGCCCTGCTCCTGAATCCTTAATCGTGTGTGGTGGGGCTTCATCTTCTTTCCTTTCCTTCTTCGTGTTCAACGAAAGGCCATCCGGCTAATCGATGATCCTTCTCTAGCATCCAGTCTGCAGTCGCTAGCACATCGTCAAGCGGTTGCTTCATTGTCCCTAGTCTACCGCTACTAATTTGGATTTTGTTCTTCCAGAACTTGTTCCCGCAGTTCCTCTTCCTGCAACTTTTATCCGCCCACCCTGTACACCGGCATCTAGTCATCCTTATCAGGTTTCTGTCCCCAAATGTTGTACTTCTCTGCTTTAATCTTCTTTTTCCCCCGAACTGTCAAACTGTGGAACACCCTCCCACTTGCTACTTTTGCCCCAACTTACAACCTTACACTTTTTAAACGCAGAATCAATAAACTGCATCTTACAGTATTTACAGTGTGCTATTTGTCCATGAGGATTTTCCCTCTTACTGTAATTCACATCGTGTAATAAAAAAATCTTTACATGTAACTGATGAATGTGCACATTTATCAATCATATAAAGGAATCTGTACTCGTTTTGACTAAAAATGAACAAAATAAACAACAGTGCCACAACACTTGATATCATTTAATTACGGAATGAAATTTAGAAGTGTGAATTTTTTCAAGATTTTAATCCAAATATCCAGGTACTAATTGATTGCATTGTGTCCTTCTTACAGGTGATGTCGTACGACGTCGTAAGTCCTTTTAATACCAAACGATATTCTTTTGCCTTAGAATGAACCCACTATTCGAAAGTTAGTACAAAAAAACGGAAAGAGTAACTTAAAGTAAGAGTCAAGCTCGATCTTTACTCAGGTCATGTTAGGTCAGGCTGCACAGGGCTAATAATGGCCACGGCCGATCAAGCGCCCAGATTTCTTCCGGCAGTATGCTCACAAAGTGTGCACCAACCACTGCGAATTGCCTCCAGTACGAAGTCATGGCCGAAAAGGAGGTAAAAATCTCGTCTCCTTTTACCTCTTCGGCGAACAAGGGACATGCCATGGAGACGTTCCCTAGTACATTGAAAATCCTATTCTGGAAAGAGCATCATCGCCTCACCCGCTG